TTTGTGTGTAAATTTTCTGAGCTCAGCTGAGGAAAGCGAGAAAAATGAATCTCCAATACTGGAGGAAAGCGAATTTGAAAATGTGATGGTTTTAGATGCGCTCGAATTGCATAAGTTGTATCAACAGTTGGAGGCAACTAAGGCGGACAGGGCGGAGATGGACGGCACGGTTTTGGAGACGCAGAATCACTTGAAGCAACTGGGTAGGGGGAGGGGATCTTAGGTTGATGCAGAAAAGCTGGTAAGCGTTGGTGTTTAAAAGTGTCGTTAAAATGAGTAGAGTAAATGGTGTAGTGGATAGTGCGCGAGTCGTTTGAGGTTGTGGGCATTTACACGCACGAGTTCGTTCCCTGGGAGGGGTCATTTTTCTGTATATTTAATATTCATGTGGATGGTTATATACTTTATGTTGATGTCAGATGCATCTATTGGGGGTAAGGTGGAGTTGCTCACGACTCAGTTGAGGGAGGTGGAGGAGAAGGCACGCAAGTTGGAGGGATGGTAAGGAGGGGGATAGAAAATCTGATGAAATTGTGGTAGACGGATGGGAAAAATAATTTATTCTCGGAATTTTACCAATTTTTTTACATCAAGACTTTTGACTTGAAAGCTTTTAACGCTTGGGCTATATCTTATTACGTGACTCTCAGCGTTGATACGAAAATTAGATCGATTTCATTATTGCTTCGCTCCGCTGTTGGCTCTTTGACTTTTTCGTTTAGTTATGCAACATCGGAAACGAGTTTGGGTGAGCAGAAAGAGGCGGTGGAGAAGTTGAAGGATACATTGACGAAGTTGGCCGAGTTCACACAGGACCTCATAGATCGATTCGTTGGAGGGGGGAGTAGGAGTATCTTCTGTGTGCATGCGTGCAGATTATCATTACGAGTAGGTTCGAACGATAATGAAGGTCCGTCTAATTTGAGCTACATGGTTCGTACTGGTGGAGGTTTTGAACCGAGGCATTTCGTCACTCTTGGGGTGAGTTTGCTAAATCGATCATCAGGGCGCGCGCTTTTGTACTGCACGTGTAGGCTAGTGGAGAAGAAGAACCAGTCTTTAGTATTCCGGGAGTGGATGGTGGAGAGTCGCGGATTGATCGGTGGGGAAAAGTGTCGCTAGGTGGATTTGAACCGGGGACCTCTAGGTATCTAAAGCACGCGAGGAATGTGATCGAACGAGCTGCGTCGGCATCTAGTTCGCGTATGAGGAGTTCAAGTGGAGGTAAGTGATTGAAGGGAGAATATAATTTCGTGGCGCGTGACGGTTTGGTCTTTGGAATTCATTTTTTGGGAGGGATTCGGCCTTCGAATAAGTCGGTGTATTCAACAGACCTCTTCTCAGCTTCAAGAGCTCTGCCAGGATTTGATTGCACATGTAAAAGTTGATCTCGGGAGCGGTGTTGAAACCCAGGAAAGGTCTTTTGAGCACCTCGAGTATACCGATGAGGAGTTTGTTATATCCAATGTTTGTCGCGCGAGATGGTTGATACACTAATAAATATATAGTGATAATAT